TTCCAAAATGAGAAGGGTAAAAATTAAAATATGTATCCAATACAATGAATTTCAGATTATTTTGTTTTTTATTTTCTTACTTTGTCGTTGTGAACTGGTTTAAGCTAATTTTATTATGGAAATTTATTCTTATGTAATTTATTCTTTTTTTTATATTTTGAAAACCAGGAATAGATCACAGTAAGTAAAAATGAGTTGTACTCCACAACTTGCTCCTAGGTTTATAATATGTTTATAATAGCATGTAATATAATAATAACTTAATAGTGTATAAAGGAAATCCCAAAATAGCCAGGTAATCATATAAGTTCAATGCCCTTGCCTTCTTTGAAGCCTTGAAAAAATTATTTATGTGAAGAATATAACAAAATGTGATGCTATTCTAGTAGCATAATTTAGCTAAACTTCTGTCAAGTTACATGACCAAGATCCCTATAGCCCAACAGCACAAAGCATGGTGAAGGACAGGCCCACTTTGCCACTTGTAAAGATCTGACAAGGATCTATGGACTTTTATGCCTTGTCTGCATAAAAATGGAGACGATTCTACTGTGTGTCTGTGAATACATTTATAAAGAATATACTAATTTCACCAATTCTAATTATGGTACATTTTATTTTTTATTAGTACATGTTTCCATTTCCTTCACTTTTCATTCCTTTTTCCCATCACCTTTCCTTCTCCTTTTTCCCCCTCAATGTCATTCCCACATTACTTTGAAAATTATCTCTGTACTTCCTATTTACTTATCACATATATTCAATTTTCTCATATAAAAGAAATCATACTGTATTTAAGCTACTGCTTCTGGTTTATTTCACTTAACATTATGGTCTCAAGGCGCCTATATTTACTTATGAAAACTTCATGTTTATCTTTCATTATGGAAGAATAGTCCTCCATGGTATACACCACATTTTCTGTAACCATTCACCTGTTGATAGATATTAGCTATTATAAATTGTTCTGGAACAAACATGAATATGTATGTGTCTTTGCACTATCATGACATTAAAATTAACTCTTTAAAAAAGTACATAGAAGGGAAAGAGCTGGGTCAAATGGGATTTCTATTTTTAGTTTTTTGAGGAATTTCCACACTGATTTCCATAGTCATTATTTTAGTTCAAATTCCCACCCACAATGTAAAAGAATTCCTTTTTCCCCAAAGCATCCCTGGCATTTATTATTATTTGATTTCTTGATGGTAGCCATTCTGTCTGCATTAGGATGGAATCTCAGTGTTGTTTTAATTTGCATTTCTCTAATGGCCAGCCATGTTGTACACTTTTCCAGGTATTTATTGGACATTCGTACTTCTGAGAAGTATCTTGCAGAAGATTGAGTCTCACCATGTACTAAACTAAAATAAAAAATGAATCAAAGATCTAAATGTTAAAACAGAAACACTTAATCTGTTAGAACATAAAATATATAAAATGACATAGGTAAGGATTCTCTGAACAGAACCCTGTGGAACAAAAAATAATGCTGAGAATCACCAAATGGGATCATATCAGATTAAAAATTTTCTGCACAGGAAAGGAAACAACAGACAGTAAAGAGACAATCTACAGAATGGAAAAAAAAGCTTTACCTGCTATATCTCAAAGAGAGGACTAATATTCAGAATACATCAAGAACTCAAAAACTTAGAGTCCCCCAAATAAAAGGCCCAATCAAAAAATGGGCAACCAAAATATGTAGTACTTTTTACTCAAGTTAATAAACCATCAGTTTTATCTCTCCCATCTCTCCTTTAGGTTCATCAACAACAACAAATTGTAAAGGGTCGTGTCTTGATGAAAACTAATGACAGCCAGAGTATTTATAATAGTTACCTCTGGGCAGTGGTCTTCTTTTGGAAAAAAATACTTGGTGACCATTCATAGTATAAGATATCCTGATTAGACAAACGTTTGCATTAGAGTATGGTTTAAATGGTACTTAACAGTATTTATGGTGGAATACTTTAAAGTTTGTGGTAGATATCAAAATTATTTCATAAGGAGTGTAAGGTCATGTTTTTTCATTGTTCCTTTATATTCTACTTTTAAAATTCGTAAAAATTCATCACATTCAATCTTGATAATAAATCTTCAAATTTCTAGGTAATGTATTTATCTTGAGAATGAGGACATGCAGGTAACTTCAAACTTTACTTTCACAGGACTCTACTATAATTCCTTTCCCATGTTATTCCCAGTGCCGATGAGTATCTACTAACAGGCACAAAAATAAGTCTTCAAACACTACTTGTGAGAAACACTTTTTTTTAGTGTATACACAAAACTTCAACGTGCTTTAGTTGTCTCAAAATCAGGCCACTATCTGATTCCTTTAACTGTGGGCATAAGAGAATATAGGTGCCATAGCTACAGTAAGTATGTTTATATGTGCTGAGATCAGGAGCGATGGAGGCATGAAGAGGGCAAAAGAGGCCTTATGGAATCCTATTCTTGGCTTTCCCTGAGAATATTTCATTGCTGCTATTAGTTTTCTTGCTTAACTGCCCTTCAAGTTGTGCCTGAGGATTTTTAAACTGCAGAGTGGTTGTTAAAGGACAAACCCTAAAGTGTTCCATGGGAATAACTAGTTGAAGTTGACTGAGATTATAAAGTAATTTGTGAAGCTATTTGCTTCTGCATAGAGCTTTTAAGTGTTAGACTATCATGCCACTACAAAAGAATTATTTTAAATGATGTAATATGCTGTATTGCACTGTATAGGCTATAAGCAATTATGGAAGGATATACTTTCTTCACTTGTATTAATAAGGCTGGGAAGAATATAAAGAAATAAAATCTGGGAGTATATAACAACTCCCAAGGCAAATTGAAAGAAATTATGAAAGAATTCATTGCATTATTGAAACAAAGCAAAATGAAATGCACTGTGACAACATGATATGAGTCAGAGGATAATATCACATCTTAATAACCACTGCAGAACAGTAGAGAGACTTCTGTATTGATTTACTGTGTAGAAAATGTGACATGACAGAAGGCCCTTCAGCAGCCACGTCTTTACACACTAGTGCAGTTGGCTATGCTTTCCTTTCAAGCATATGACTGAGAAGTCATCCAGATCACAACAGACAGAAGCTGAAAAAGTTTGGCCAATGAGTCTTCTTACTCAGCTCTGTTCCACGAGTTAGTGCTCTGATCCTCTACTACTCAGAAATAAAATCTCAACACCAATTTTTCATTCGGCCATATAAACCTACAGCTAATTACCATGGTGCCAAAACAAGGCTGCAGAAAGTATAATCTATTAGCAATAACTTGTCTAACAATATAATTGCATTGGGAATAATGAAATGTTCATTTTAGTACCAAAATTAATAATGTTGTATCAATGGCATTAATAATTAAGGATTCTTTTTATAACATCACATCATTAATAACAACTGCATTATGAACAATTCTATTAACATAAATAATAATACAAATAATATCACATTGTCTTTCTCCAGTTATAACTTTGCAACTGTAATGAAATGCTGTAAACATAATGGACCAGACCCCACTGTGTCCAATGTAAGGAGTTCTGGAAATATATGATTCTTTTAGATAAATAAGTTTCTTTTTGTTTTCTTAGATAGTAACTTCTGGGTAAAAAAAAAACATTAATTATTCAGAAGGAACATGAAAATTTTGTTTAACATTTTTCAATTGTATGTTTATGAGAAAATATTCAGGTTGGAACAGTGCCTAGGAGTTTTCATTGTGCTGATTCTTAAGTTGTCTATTAGAATACTTTTTTAACTTGGGGTAGGTGTGACTTTTTTTTCTTCATAAATTAAGCTTATGTCACATATAACATTTTAATACCTTAACATTACAAAGCATTTTATAGTCCATCTCCCTATCTTCCTGAGGAACTAAATCTAAGTCATTCATTATAGATAATTTTCTATTTGTATGAGATTTCTCTATCTCAGAACCATATTCTAACACATAAAAGTACCTCTGGATCAGGTATAATCACGTAGCTGGTATAGGTCAAGTCTGGCTCATAGCTTGCTTTTTAAAAAATAAGCTTCATTGGAACATAGCCATATCATTTTGTTTATGCATAGTTTATGGCTGCCTTCCTCCTACAACAACGGAGATGAGTAACAGCAACAGAGATTATATGGTCTGCAAATTTACATATTTACTACCTAGCCCTTTCCAGAAAAACTATATTGACTTCTAGTCAATAGGCAGAAAATATTTCAAACATTTCCAAAACCTAAATAAAGAAGAGAAAAAGGGAATTAATAAAATATCCATAAGCATACTCATGTTTATATTGTTGTGTTCTTGTATGAGTACAAATATGTTTATACAGATATGTAATACTATTTTAGTCAGGGTCTTTCTCTGCAGTTTAGGCTGGTCATGACTTCACTACATAGCCCAGGCTGGCCTCGAACTCGTGGAAATTCTCTCTCTCAGTCTCTTGAGTGCTGGGATTGCAGGCCTGTCCCACCATGCCTGGTTAAATCTAGATTATTAATTTCAGGACTGCATACTGAGAAAGGCTCCAATAAATTCTTGTTGGAACAACAGAAAAATAATTAATACTTAATTATTATTTATAAAAGATAGGTCAAAATGATAATTATAATTTTTTCTTCAAAATATTGTTTTCTGTATTTTCTATTATCATTAGCATTAAACCTTGTGCACAAAAAATTTCCTTCAGTGAAGTTCTAACTTTCAACTGTGAAAAATTTCCAAAGTAAACAATTATACATAGAAAAGTTAATAAACTATTTTACTACCCTTATTAAGTTTCAATTTATGGCCAATTTTATTTTACTTGTATTCTGCATTGTATTACAACCTGTTTCCTCTCAATTATTTTGATATAAATCATACATATTAATTTTTAAACATTTCAGGAAGTAGACCCAAAAATATATTTTTATTTAGTATAACTCTAACACCATTACTACATAAAATATTAACAGTAATTCTTTAATATTTAGTATGTACCACTTCTGTCCAAAGTTCGAGTTGCCCTGTAAACAAAGAGACAGTTAACTGTTTAAATCAGCATTCAAATGCTACTTGTTTACAGAGATTTTCATCTAGTTTCGGGTTTTTCAAGGCAAGTTCTTTTTGGTTTTTTGTTTGTTTGTTTGTTTTACAATATTTTAGTGTATACTAATCACCAGGGAATAGAAGGGGGCAATATCAGACAACACGAAAGTCCTGAGATTGAAGAGTGGAAAACTCGGGTGTGGTATGATGTTCTCAGGCATGCAGCTCTCTACCTCAGACAGACAGCGTGTAATCACTCCTGCAAGGTGATAAGACAGGATGCATATTGTTTCCAGTTGTCCTTTTTGCTAAGAGCTTAAAATCACGCCTAATGTAGTGTCAGCTGATTCCAGGGAAACAAGGACGGGTTATCAACAAGCATTCTGTGGTTGCGGGGAGCTCTTCCTCACACATATTCCCTCCCCTCTCCTCAAATGTATGTGGCCCTTGGGCCCTCCTAAAGTCCTACAGGGAACAGGAACTCACAAGTCAAAAAAGCTGCACAACTGAGGCAGATGACTACCTTGGAGACAAATGAGGGCAACAAAGAGACAGAAACAAAAAAATTGACCAAAAATGTAAAAGAAGCGTCTTTACTTAAACAGCCTGCATGCTATTTTCCATGAAATCTGTACCATTTTGCATTTCCACAAAGAGTGCACAAAAGTTCCAATTTCTTCATATCCTTTCCAATGCTTTTCTATTTTGAAAATAATAGACATCTTAATGTGGGATATTTTGTTGTGATTTGACTTGCATTCCTGAATTATTACTGATTTTATGTACTTTTTTCATATACCTGTTGGCCATTTGAATACTTTCTTTGGAGAAATGTTTCTTCAAGTTCTTAGTTTGCTTTTTAATGGAGTAAATCATTTTTTAAATATGGAGTTGTAATTATTCTTTCTGTATTTTGTAAACTGACCACTTATCAGATGCATGGTTTGCAAGTATTTCCTTTCATTTCGTAGATTGTCTTTTTACTCTATTGATTATTGCCTTTGTGGTACACAAAGGTTTTTTTTTTCCATTAAGTTTATTGGTATGTTTTAGGTGTACAATACAGTTAAAGTTACATTCATCATTGGGATCTTATATATTTATATAATGTATCTTGGTTCTTATTTTTTCCTCATAGACAAATTTTAATTTGTATAGTTCGAATTTGTCTACCTTTGCTTTTGTTTCCTGTGCTTTAAGTGTCATATTTATGAAATCATCTTAGAACAATGTCACAAAATAATTTTCCTTATTTTTAAAGGATTCTGGTGAATTCATTGTGAAATTTATAATCCGCTTTATGTGAATTTTCTAAGAATCCAATTAAACTCTTTTAGATATAGATATCATTTTCTCATCCCTGTATGTTAGAGTCTATTCCTTCTTCAGCATGTGTATTCTTGACACCTTGTTCAAAATTAGTTGACTGTACATGTGTGAATTTATTTCTGGTCTCTTTATTCTATTTCATTGGTCAATAGATCTCTCCTATGCCATCTCCATACCCTTTTACTTATTTTAAATTATGAGGAGGGTTGCATCCAGATTTTTCTTATTTTTCAAGATTGTTTTGGTTATTCAGGGTCTCTAGACATTCCAAATGAATTTCAAAATTTTCTCTTTTTCCCAAGAATCCATTGCGATTTTGATGGGGAATATATTGGGTCTGTAGATCAGTCTGTGTTGTATAGATATTTTAACAATGGTAACTTCTTGAATCCATTGATGTGGATTGTTTTTCTGTTTTTTGTCTTCTTTAATTTTTTTTCTTTGGATGTTGTTTGTTTATTGACACAGAGTTTTGCCCATACTTCAGTTTTAACAAAGTTCAGTCAGCGTTGAGCTCACTCTGTAGTTCAGGCTGGCCTCAAACTCGCAGCAGCCTCCCAAGTGCTGGGATTACAGAAATGCAACACTACGTCCAGCTAATTTTTAAAATATAAATGCTTTATAGTTTTCAGTTAACAATTTTTTATGTCCTTCATTATATGTTTCTATGTATCTTATTTTTTATGCTATTGTAAATTGAATGGCTTTCCTAATTTCCTTCTTACAGAGTTTGTTATCAGCAATCCTACTTCTCAATATTTGTCCAAAAAAAATTGAAAGTGGGATTTTGAAGAGATATTTGCATATCTATATTCGTAGCAGCATTACTCATGATGGTCAAGAGATATAAACTCACACAACCATTGGTAGATGAATGAATTAACATTATGGAATATTATTTGGCCATTAAAAAGAAGAGAATCCTCTAAAGCATGACCACGTGGATGAACCCTGAGGATCCCGGGCTAAATAAATAAGAAGGATGAACACTGTAATTCCATTTATATTAAATATTTAAAGTTAGCCAGATTTATAGAAGTAAAAGTAGAATAGTGTTTGCCAAGGGCTGGGATCAGAAGGAATGGGACTTGCTAGCCCAGGGCTCCAGGGCTCCAAGATGAATGCAATCTATAGGTCTATTGTACAACATTGTACTTTGTAGGCAACCTGGCTATACTGTGCAGTTTTAAAACTGTGAAGATAGGTGGCATCATATTAAGTGTTTTTCTTACAATAATTTTTTAAAAGTTACCTCTGAAAAAAAAGCAAAGGAGATATAAAATGATACCTAAGAGGATTAGAGAACATATGACTAAGATGCAGTAAAGTCATGGCATCACAAAAAGCACAAAGTTTTAAAATATGAAAAAGATGTTATTAAAATAATAAAGAACTTGTATCTGATAGACAACAAATTTGTAAGTGGTTAGACCAGATTAAAAAAACTTTCCCAGAAGGCAGTGAAAGAAATAAAATCATACAAATATAAAGGAGAAAAGATGAGAGGATAATCAGGATACATGTAAAAAATTAACAAAAATAGCTTTTCCATCATAAAACTGAATGGATAACCTCAAATGCAATGAACTCAAGGATTTCAAAACAGAAAATTTAAGACATAAAATTCATGTGTGGACTTATAATAATAATATTAATAATGTAAAAATTTAAAAAATTTCAAAATCATCAATACAAATAAAAGGTCATCAGATTTATGAAAGCAACACACAAAAAAATCCAATATAACATTCTTAAAGAGTTAATGGAAAAAAGAAACTTGAACTTGAAATTTTACATACAGCTGAAACTTCAGTAAAAATTTTCTCTGGTTGAAATAAATTTGAATTTAAAGAAAGAGAAAAATGATCCACTTAACGACCCAATCTAATTTTGTTACTATATTACATGTTAATGGATATTTTGAAAAATATTGTAAAGACCTTATGGTTTTGGCATTTACTGCAAAGTCTAACATGAAATCACCAATGTGATAGGTCTCTAAAGAAGGAGAAAAATAAACCAGAAAGGCATTTCCGGAGATATAGAATGTAAAGATAATCAAACACACACACACACACACACACATCCTGAACTAAAGAAAATTAAAAAGAACTCTGCAATAATGAAAAACTGAATGGTCATCAACATTTTTGTGGATGTAGTCTTAAAAGGAGATCAAAGTTTGAGCAAATCATTATTACAACTACTTTTGGGAGAATAAGTAGACTGTAGTATGTTTAAGAAGTTAATTAGAGCCTAGTAAATAGGACTTCAAGTCCCAAGTAAGTAAGCAACTACAGTGTTATGAAAATATGAGTTTTACCAAATTCTTACCTTGACACCATAATTTATAAAGTGAGCTTTCTGTGCAGGTTATGACAGTAAAGTGCTCCCCCTCTTTTCTTGTTATGAAGATACACAGAATCCATCTGCAAACCATAAAAGGGTCCTCATCAGACATTGGATCTTCTGGGCCCTTGATCATGGACTGTGCATTTTAAATTGTAAGAAATAAACATTTTCTGTATTTAAGCCTCTCAGTCTTTAGTGGCACAGACTAAAACGTGTCATAAGAAATAACTATACACAAAATATACTGGCACAAAATAAATAAACACAAATGAAAGTTTACGAATGAGCATGCATTTGAATTTGTTTTCTGGAAGAGATTATCAGTGAGAAATGGGGATTGAAAAAAAACTGAGTGAATGAATGAATGAATGAATGAAACAAGAGAGAACCTAGTATGAACCAACATCAATAGGGAACTACAGGTAAGTGTGAATAATTACACCCTCTTCACTTAAAGACCAAAGAAAAGAAACACTTGGCTTAAATTAAAGAAGTATAAAAAAAAACCCATGCATTTTTTTCTTTAAATATCAAACTAGGTGTTCCTTGAATCTCTGCTTTTCAAATATATTTGTGTTGGGATTTACTTGTTGTACATGAATATCTAATATGGTAATTCTTCTGAATGTCAATTAAGTCGCTTGTGATCATATGAAAGTTTGGTGAGTGAATTCTTGGAAAAACAACAACAAAATACCCAAACTAACATGTTCTCTGCCTCAAGAAAATGAATAGAGTGACTCTTGATATTTTATGATTATGAAGAATGCTTAAAGACACAGCTAGTTTCTATATGAAAGTGAATTTTATTGCTTGAGCTAAAGGGCACTGATATTTTGATTCCATAAAACACATTATATAGGGTTTTTCAAGAATCTGAGAGATTTTGCTTTACTATTGCAAACCATGAAAGCAAACTGCTATAAGCATGTGTGGAGCTTTTTCAGGTAAATGTTCTTAGAATATTGTATTTTTTTACTGGGAGGTGAAGGACTCTAAATTCTAATCTCAGTGGTGCTGCGAAAGTCATTTTTAATTTTGTCCTGGTTTTCTCACCTGCTAAGAAATTCTGACAACGGCATTTCAGACAGAACAAACTCATCTTTCTAGGATGAGTCAGTTTCATAAAGGAAGGCTGCCACAGGAGAGTTTTGCTCTGTAAATCTGTGTAATATGATTCACAGATCAAAACAATGCAAAATGTGAGCTGAGGGGATCATACGCATCTCCTTTACTGAGAAATGTCCTTTTGAAAATGTTGTATGTGAAATCAGCAAAATTGGTCCTTTAGATAGCTATCACTTAGGTAAAGTCAGCTAGAGGCCAAGCATGGCAGAACTGTTGAAGGACATTAATGCATGTATATTTGCCCTCTATAGTTGGAAGGGCAGAGAAGTAAACTAGTCAGGATGTACAGTTTAAACTACTTAAGCTCGAATCCTGACTCTTATTCTGTGGGCACTTTAGTCTGATTTTCTATCTCTGAAATGAGATTAATGGTACCTATCTCAAAAAATTATTGTAAAATATTTTAAAAGATAAAACATATCAAGAAATTAGAGTAGAATTACCTTTCCAATTACCTGATCATGCAGTTTTCTTTCCAAGACAAAAAGATACAGCAGTCTCCAGTCTAGTTTTTCTTTTACATCATAAGTATCTAGAAATAACTTCTGGAATTAATGTCAGAAGCTAATATTTCTGCTTTCTTCACAGTCATTTTCACTTCCAAATAAGTTTTGTTCAGGAGCATTGTCTACAGAATAACAGTTAAAGGAAGGCTGTGATAAATTTTCACCTGACTTCCATGTCTTCTATGCCAGTCAAGCACCTGCCTGTCCTGTTCACGTCTTGAAATCCTGACATCTTAGACCTTGCCTTCTTTATTCCATTCTTTATGCTGCTCTTGCTCCTACAAGCACCTGCCATTTCTTCCTCATTCTTAGTCTTCTCTGTCTTTCGGGTCAGCAGATTTTATTCCTAGAATTGGCTTCTGGTCTTCCACCTGTTTGATTAGAGCATGGTAGTGACCTGTCTCCTTAAGAACTTGATATTTTTCCAAATGTATATAATTGACATACCAGAAGACTTGCTTAGGGAAAGATCTTCCCTGGAAGAAAAGATGTGAAATTCAGGCTATTTTAGTAACTGTTGTAAAAACAACAAGTACAAATAAGGGATAATTATATTTTATGGGCCCTTGGGTTGTAGTCTGTTTCTAAAGGCCTGGTTTGATTGTGCATAATGACTTTGTTTTTATAAGTTTAATAGATCTAATTTATCTACTTGTCTTAATTTTTTAAAGATAAGGAAGCAGTTGGATAAAAGTAAAATGTATAGTCAATACACACTTACAAAATGGTTGCTACGAATTAAATAGCTAAATATAAAGTAATAAAATATAGTATTATTTGAACAAAATATATTAGCATGAATTTACATTCTTGGTGAAGGGAAGGCCATCTAGAGTAAGACACAGTAGAAGTAGAGAATATATGGAGAAATCTAGCTATTTGAGAGACCACTGGCAAAATACATGATCTATCTATCTATTTATCTATCTATCTGTCTATAGATATGGAAATATGTATCTATCTATATATCTCACTATATAGAAATATAAAAACATGTAACTACTTTCTACACTTAAGACAAAATATAAAAATGGGAATATTAACCAACAAATTCAAAGAAAATAAATATTAACACTGGTCAATAAAAACAGTTACTAATCTTTGTTCATGATTTGCTTTCTGTTTCCCTTACTGGTGAACAACTATGATCTGAAAATGTTAAATGAAATATTCTAAAGATAAGCAACACAGAAGCTTGAAATCACATGTCATTCTGAGTAGTGTGGTGAAATCTCACATTATTCCCTTCCATCCTGTCCCAGATATTAGCCGTCCCTTTTTCCAGTGTAATCACACTGTATTGCTACCCACCCATTCATCACTTAGTGGTCTTCTTGGCAATCACATTACTGTCAGGTATCAGAGTGCTGGTGTTCAAATAACCCTAGCATAGTTGCCTGGATACATTTGATTACACAGGCCTTATACCATGTAGCAACACCATCATCATCATCATCGTCATGCCAAGAAGAATAAAGAGAACAGTGCAATCAAATATAAGAGGTAGATGTAGAATGTTAACATTACTCTTATCACAATGTATTGTTTGAAATCCTTTTATTGTATTACTAGTTATTGTTCATTTCTAACTGTGCCTAATTTAGAATTTAAACTTTGTATAAGTACATATGGATAGAAAAAACAAGTATATGTAGCTTTGGGACTGTCCATAATTTCAGACATCCTTGGGAGGGTATAAGACTGTATTGCCCCCCATGGGCCAGGGCTTTAGCTCTGTGGTTCCGCCGCCTGCCTCACAAGCACAAGGTCCAAAGATTGATCCCCAATACCAGAAAAAGAAAAAAAAAGATTTAAATATTGTATTGCCCTTGAATATGGGGGATTATTACAAAATGATCTTCAGTGGTTCTGCTGCCTGACTCGCAAGCAAGCACAAGGAACCGAGTTCAATTCCCCACTACCCAAAACAAACAAACATAACAAGCATACAAACCAAAACAAAATAAAAAGCACAAATTTAGTAAGGGAAAAAAATGAGAATCAAGACTTGCCATGTAGAGGTACATGATCCCAACAATGAATGTAACTGTACTGTATCTCTTAAATGTACCAATAAACTCAATAAAATTAAAAAAAAAACAATTTCATTATTAATAACTACAACAGCAAAACTTAGATTGATAATATCCAGGGGTGGAAAAGGCATGAAGAAAATGTGTCCTTTTTACATCCTGCAGGCCTCTGAGGAGCACATCTGTCAATATCTATCCAAATTCCACTTTGAGACATATTTTAGAGAAATTCTTACACATGTTTACAAAAACATGTACAAGAATGTTTTTTAAATAAATATATGATCAACTATAGGAAATCAGCCAATAATATGACACAGCATTAACCTAGAAAAGTAGGCACTAGGCAAAAAAGTGATATGGGTATATGCTTATTCATATAGAAAATTCTTCAACAGAGGTCTTAAGTAGAAAACAAAATAACACACTTTGCAGAATATGCATTCTGTTAGAATTTAAGCAAAAGTAAGCATAGAAGCCAATATATTTTTCTTATAAGTGCATAGAAATACACATAGCAGATTAAAGGCCTGAATGATTGTGAAAGCATTGACAAGGAAAACAATGGCAGAGAGCAGTCAAGGAAAGCATGACTAATTCACGTATATTTTAGGTTCTTTCATAAAAAGGAAAATATATAAAATAATATACAAGTTAAACAAAAACTTATCAACTTCAAAAAAGCCCAATTTTAAAAAAGGCAAATGAATGCCCTATATGTTTATAGCTGTTTGCAACACTTACAGTAAAAAAATCAAGTCCTGACTCTAATGAAACATGTTTCTAAAAGATTGAGAGGAGCGTGTTGGGGCATGGAGAGTTTTCACTGTTTTTTTAAAGTTAAATGAACATTATACAAAGAGCACCATACAGAAAATAAATGACTGAAACATGTTTCTAAAAGATTGAGAGGAGCGTGTTGGGGCATGGAGAGTTTTCACTGTTTTTTTTAAAGTTAAATGAACATTATACAAAGAGCACCATACAGAAAATAAATGACAAATCTGCATAAGTGGCAGGAAGAAGAAGTACAAGAGCAAAATAATTTATCTGAATTTTAATAACCATTAACATGTAACCTATAAACTCCTGGCTTGGATTTATTTTTAATTAAAATCCAAGAAATGCTTCAAAATAAAATTTATATTTGTTTTAAATATATTCTTCCATTTAATTTATTGTGAGGAACCATCCCAGGATTCATAGAAAAAATGAGTTTGATGAAATAGCTCAAGGAGTTTATACTCTAAGAAATGGCAGGAATAGGCAGCTAAAAATGCATGACTTACAATTAACTTGAGGCACAAAGACAATGGGCACAGATGTAATACAGAGGGCTTTATGCATATTTTGTTATAATATTGCCTTTCAACAATAAGCTGAGGACACAGTTGTTGGGATGGCAGTAAAAAGACTATAATTATAGAAGCATACAGTAGGAAAAGATACATTCTGTATATAGAAATTTTGGGAAGGAAGTGATGTTTAAGGTTAATTTTGTACAGTTGAAGATGGCCAAGCCAGCTTTCAAGCTTTGGAATAATTTTCTAAATAAAAAAGGAGGGACAGAAATTTCCAGATATGACTGGAAGGCAAAAGATCTACTGTTAGATCAACTGGGGGCGGGGCGGGAATTTGAGCCAGATACTGAAAGAATTTGAACTTACTTAATGTTGAATGGGGAGGAACTGAAGGCCAAATTGGGAATTACTTTAATAAAGCTGAAAATTTTAAATGTTAAAAAGCCTTAGTCAAAATAGAATTTTCATTATATTTTCACTAAAATATCCTACAGATATCAACCACATAAATATTCTGTCCCAATTTTACACAAATCATAACACCAAAAGTTAATACTTTAATTGTTTAACATAAACACTTGTTGAACATTAGTATAACCTAAATATGACGTATTAGCATATTTAACATAAACACCGTGTTATTTAAGAAAACAAAAATTGAAAATTGTGCAAAATGTTTCTCAGGGATCAGCATGTTTTAGAGCTGAAATTTCAAAATTAACCACTGATTAAATTCTCTGAGCTTATGTAATCATCTACAAAATGAAACAGTAGCTGCTCACAGTGTTATGAGGGTTAAAAAATAAAATAATCTCTCCAAAGTCTTTAGCATAGTGCCTGGTACACTGGAAAGGCTAAATGACCATACCATTGTTGGTGCAAATAGGAAAGCACAAAAGCCGGGAGCTCTCCTTGGTGCTGACTCAGTTTTAGGATATCTATCTCATGAACTAAATGAGGAGACTGAAGTAAAAAATAATTCTCAGGTTATCATGAAAGAACTTGTTTTAATGTCAGAGAATCCTCTCAATTTGGACAAAAATATCCATCGTTCATGATTATATGAAAGTGTCGGTGCACGGTAGCAGTTATTCTCCAGTACTTAGGTATTTCCATTGTATTCTAGTGCATGTATTGGGATATTGGCAAAGCCGACTGGTTTGGACAGCATCAGCATTGAGAGGTAGCAAACAGCAAAATGGCTTGTGGCTTGCACTTCTTGTAGCTTCTATTGTGTGAAATCCCAAATTTTTAACATGTTCTGTGTGTATGTTTCTGTGTTCATCTAAGTGGAGGTTTTAAAGCATTAACTTGAAGTACTTATATGTAAAAGACAATTTGACTATTTCAGCATTTTATACTGATAAAAAATTAAATCTGCTTTTGCTGGTAGGAAACAAAAAGGAAATATAATCCTTTTAAAGAGTACAAACAAATAAAAGGCAAAGGAGCTCTCATTGTTTATAAATAAAATGCTCACAAAGAAAAGGAAATACTTATTTCACTAGATATTCAACCTGTACAATATACATTTAAATAGCCACTTTCACTGGTATCCATCTTGAAATATCCATTTAACTAGCTTTTGCTAAGACTGCTTGGTTTTTAAAATAGTTCAGTTTTCAGTGTCAAATATTTGGGATCCATTTGCTATATATAAAAAAAGAAGAAAAAAAGGTTGGGCAATGTAGTGTCTTTTGAGCTACAGGAACATGGCAGAAAGTGACAAATGGGCAAATGTGTCACAATGAAGCATGATATATTATAAA